TCCATCCTATTGAATTTAATTTAAACCCAAGATCCGAGCCGATCCTGTTCCATCCTATTGGATTTAATTTGAACCTCGGATCCGAGCCGGTCCTTATCCATCCTATTGAATTTAATTTAAACTTCAGATCCGATCCGAGCTGATCCTGATCCCTCCTATTGCATTGTAACTAAAACCATTCCTATGGAATTTAAGCTAAAACCTAGGATCCAATCCCGCCTATTGAATTTTAATTAAAACCTAGGATCCAATCCCGCCTATTGATTTTAATTAAAACCTAGGATCCAGATTTGTTTGGGGGGGGGCGCTTCCCGCTGCATTAAAAAGGTCCCCATATTTGTTTGGGGGGCGGAGGGGGGGGGGCCTACACTAATCAGGACCCAACATTAGAAGCCAGCAACGAACGTCGAGGACCAATACAGATGAGCCATGACACAGTTGTCCTGCTTGTCGTTGTCAGTGTGGAAACCTCAGACGGTAAAGGCTTTGCCACCAGGCCCGCCTGCCCGCTAACGAAACCTAGCTCACTCCAGGACCCCTCCACGAATTTAAACTTTTTCGCCCCGATGATAATCCCGAGAAATCCAAAAAGCTGAAGTCCTAAGAGCCGAGTTAAAGGCAGACAAGGAAAGAGCTCTGCTTCAGCTGCGCCACTGTAGTTGTCGTCACTGTTGTGACTGAGGTGACGGTGATGGTTGTAATGGATGTGGAAGTGACAGATGTTCGCGTCGTTGATGTGATTGTGGTTCTGGTGGTGGTGGGCATGAGGGTCACCTCGCATGGTGCAGAAGGGCAGGCTCAAACATCTCTTAGATCAGGCAGGCGCAGAGTACCTCAATGGTGGTCGGTGTAGGTCGGCGCGTTGTAGCTGGAGCCGGCGAAGGTGCGGTTTCCTGGCATATACAAACTTCTTGTGCCAATCAGGCTGGGGCAAAGCAAGCGCCCTCCTCTGCTACACGACTGAGCGTAGTGCTAATTTATTCCGCTTTGTGTGGTGGCTTCGCTTTCCCTGTTTTCCCCGGCCTGCCATGCCGGGCTGCGCCAGCTAACCTGGCAGCTGTCAATGGCATGTGTCTAGACTGCACCTGCACGGCCTCTGCAGCAGCTTTCGTTGTCGACTTAGACTTCGCAGGCGCCTTAAGCAACATGCAAGGACACGGGGAGAAATAGTGGTCTTCCAGCCAGCAAACCTACCTGCAATATGCAAAAATCTCTACAGCTGCCTAATTGCCTCGGGATTACCCACGGAAGCACATCAGCAAACACAACTTTACCTTCTCCGAAGCTCAGCGTTTCCGGAACGGCAGCAAGACACGGGGTTCCCTCCCGCATAGCAAAACTAATGCAGAGAAGGCACATTTCTGCAAGTGTCGAAATAGTCCGAACAACCTTGCACAGTGTCTGTCACATGTCACAGAATTTTGAATGCATGAAGAAGCCAGAACTAAGCTCTGTGCAGTCGTCAAGTTCCACACACCAGCCTCAGGATCACAATGCACTGGCAAGGGCACATCAACTGACAATGCTTGTAAGCAAGTTGCTGATGCATTGGCAGTCTGCACCAGGCCTCAGTGCATTAATCATGCGTTGCAGCTTTCTTGAGCTGCCCGAATTTTTGTTGACCTCATGCTAATGCTTGACGAGCATCTGCAGCACATCGCAGCGCCCTGCGCAGCTGCTGTCCAAGTTAGCACTCACGACGCGAATGACCTCAGCAACAAGTATCGCGAACGTCACATGACAACCCCACATGATGCTGACCAGGCAGGCAGGTCAGGCTAGAGTTGTAACAGGAAAGTGCCTTTTGCTGCAGCAGGCACATCCAGAAAAATCGCCACGAACAACAACCTGTCCAACCCGGGCGTGAGGTGTACCTGCAAAGCACCGGCAAGAGCTAGTCTGCAAGATGCTTCAAGTAAGTCAAGCATTCCTGAAATGGAGTGACTCACGGAGCAAAAAGGATCGTTGTAGAACGGCAGACAAACCAGCAGTTGGACTTCAACAAATGCATGGGTAGATGGAAGGCATTGCCACAAGGTTATGACATCCCTGCCGGCAAGTCACAGCCTTCATGTGGAGGCAGCATCTCGCTCCATAACCGCTGTCAGGCCGACGTCGACCTGACTGACTGTGAAAAACCCTCATCTTCCAAACTTCTAGGACAAAACCACTTTCGAATATCTCAGATGCATGCCATGGAGCACCCAAGCCCGGCAATGTCCCGCTTCTACAAACGGCAGCGGGATGAGAACCGCCACTACCAACAAGGCAAGCGTGCCGCGTTCCAGCGCTGTACTGCATGAAATCAAGTCTGAGTTGCTTGAAATGGGCTTGGAGATTGCTCTGGCGTTTAGCAGCGAACACACAGAGCACAAAGCGCAGGATCTCCTTGAAGAGCTCAGGCCCTTACTCAGCGATTCTTTCGTCAAGGACCTCAGCACTGTTGCATTTCAGGTCCGGTGATCTGATGGTGGAGCTTTACCTGAAATCGGCTTTCGCCATTTAGCGTGTGACCTCTATGCGCTCTTCGCGCTGCGAACCTCCCACAAGCTCTCCGATTCCTGGCACCGCGGCTGCCAAACACGCCTGGAGGCTGAATCAAGTCAAGGGTAGGATCCTGGGCACAAGAGGTCCATCGCGGCGACCGTCTTGCCATCCTCATTCAGTCTCATGTAGAAGGCCTTGCAATCCTTCAGGGCCAGCGATACTGCAGCAGACTTTTGCTGCACCTTGACAATCCCAAGTCCTTGGGATAATTGTAAACGATGCAGGGGCCTTTACACACCACATCGGTGAGAAACTTCCTCAGGCCACATCATCCATGATGGCGACATTGGCCACCGCTCCCGTGTGCGAGTAAAACACTTCACTAGGCTCCCTACTCATGCTCTGTCTGAAGCTCCTTCCCCCATTCAACTTCAAACTCAAACTTCACGTCCTTTTTCTCAATATGTTTCTGCAGTACCTGCGCAGAAGACCAGCTGCAGAAGAGGCCCACACTGCTGAATACTGACAAACTCAACCGCCCACATCCGCCCACCTCCACTGCCTCTGTGTAGCTCATGCGGGCAAAGGGCGTGGATGCAATCAACTCCAATCTCTCCTGCACACATTATCGCAGAACAGAACTTTGCACCTAACTCAGCTTTGCTTCCCAGGTGCAACAGAAGGCGTTAGCTGAAGCAGGCTTATCGACTCATCGGCTTTGACTTCAGCACACGCACCCAATCCGCAAGAAGCCGCTGCATGCACCAAATGCCTGGATCTCTTTGTCCTGAGCGCTTTGTTGTACAAACATGTCAGCTGCAAAGGCGGCATGCCATCAACAGCAAAATGCGGAAGGGGCGGTGACTTCTCCCACGGGTCACTAGTGACTTCTCCAAAGGAGGATCACTTGTGAGTTCTGCTGGGGGATCACTTGCGACTTCTCAAACACGCGAATTTGCGACACGTCTCAGCAAAAGCGCCTGAGGTCAACGGTGACTTCTGAGTGTTTGGCATCAGGATCGGTCTAAGGTTTAGAGTACGTGGTTTAAGGTCTAGGGTTAAGGGTTCAGGGTACATGGTCTGGGTCTGGGGTTGGAAAACATGTTGATGGATTGGGATTTTTAGGGCTAGGGCGGCTAGGGTCCAGGGTTTAGGGGTAGGGGTTTGGGGATCGGGGTGATGCAGTCGGGGGTCTTTTAGGGTTAAGGTGTAGCGTCGCCGCGGTCAGGGTTTAGGGTCCAGGCCTAGGGTTTAGATTAGGGGTTTTTCAGGGTGAGGGCTTAGGTTGGGTTGTGGGGCTTCGGGTACACGGTTTTGGGCCACGCAGGGCTTGGGGTACACGGCTCAGGGTTCAATTTTGTTTTACGTTGCCGGCTTCTTTCTGGTTCTCATAGTGAACAGCTATCGTGGACATGGGGCCCAGCTTTCCCCGAAGTAAATGCATTCATGTGTTCCCTGAAAACTGGCCTGGGAGGGGATGTTGTCGGTGCTTGGCAATGGACTCCTTTTTGGAGTTCAGGGGGAAGGAGGGTTGGGCCAATGTTCGTGGCATTCCGGGGATTAGGGTTTCTCCTTGTATACACAATTTAGTGTTTAAGGGTTTGGAGGTTGCGGGTGGAGCCACATTTTCCGGGAAATAAATGCATGAATAGTTTCCTGAAAGCTACCCTGGGCTGCGATATTCTTGGGCGCTTGGCAATGGACCGCTTTATGGAGTTAAGGGGGCCAGTGCTCGGGGTGTTTCAGGCCAGCTCTACCTTTTGAACGATGTAGGGCCAGGGTTCAAAGTTTTTCGGCCTTCAGGTTTTTTCCTAAAAACAACTGCTTGATGATTTTCTTGGAAAAACAGCTTGGGTTGGGATGTTCTAGGTCAAAAAGTACACAGTCTAGGGTTGCGGTTCGCGGTTTGGGGTTCAAGTTTTAGGGATCAAAGTACAGGGATGATGGCCGAGCACTTTCGAGGTCTTGCGGCTAGCACGGCCGCAGCAGCGCAAGGAACGATTCGGGTTGAGGCTTCTAGCTGAAGGATTGGTTTAAGGTTTATGGTTGTTGCGGTTAGGTTTCAGGGCTCAGGACTTGAACTTAATGTTTAGGGCCACGGGTGTTAGGGGTATAGGGTTTGGACCACCGGCTCACGGTTCCGAGATAGGTGTTTAGGGAACACAAACCTGCAACTGTCAAGGGTCCAGCAGAATCACTTCTCCCAAAACGATGACGGCTCTGCATTCTACCAGCAGCACAAGCATGTCACTGTCCAAGCTTGAGAATCACAGCTCCGCAAACAATGACACATCCGCATTTTCAAAAGAGCGCACACGCGCAGCTGTGGAGAGTCGGAAGGTCGGGGGTCCGAAAATTTTGAAGTAGTTCTGCATTTCGCAACGACAAAATGCCAGAAGTCACAAGCGACCCAAACTGAGAAGTCACGAGCGACGTTCAAGAGAAGCCACAAGCGACGACGCCTCTACTATCTAATTCATGTGTGTGCAAGGACACATCGGTATAGCCGAGCAGCGACTCGAAGATTGAAAAAGTCCACATCGGACTTGCAGGCCTCCAGGACGTTGGAGACGCAAAACCTGTACTCCACGGAATTTGACAAAACGGGCCGAACTTGACTTGACTCCCAGCCTGATGAATGCCTCTGCGCAATCCATGTCATCCTGGAGATTGGCGAATGCCATCTCTGGCTCGATCCTGGCAGGCAGTGTTGATCACGTTTTGTCAATAAGTACACGTTCGAGTGAGGGTCGGGCATCCAGAATTCGGCTAAGTGCCTAGTGGTGCCTGCTTGCAGAGAACTTGCACAGCAGTTGTTTGCTGAGAAGTGGAAGCTATTCCGCATGCATCTGGGAAGCGGGCTGGAATTTTCGGCGCGGAAAGTAGGGCCGAAGGTGTAGACCTCACTGGGTATGGCTTCCATCTTGCCTCCTCCATGCCTCCTACACGTCTTAGGCAGTCTGCGTCACCCAGTCCGCAGCAAAAGTTCTCCACGGCCAACTGACCGCTGACCTTTGTGCCACTTTGTTTGCTGCCATCGCGGTGTGCTTGCTGATAAGCCGTGCGCCGTGAGGTACGCTGCTCTACCAAAAAATTCGGAGCTCTCCTGTTCTGCCTTGCTCTGTGCAGCCTCCTCCCCCTGAGGTCACGCCAGCTTCGCCAAGCATGATGTCCGCCTTTGAGCAGCTTCTACCACAGGCCTTCTCCGCCGTGATGCGGAACATCTCACCAGCTCCCTCGCAATCTGCTGTGGTGATGATGGGTGTGTGCCTTGTGCCGTAATGACTTCAGAGCTCCACTTCAGCTGGCCACTGTGAGGCTTCTGCACATACAAAAATCCTCGGTCTTGGAAGAACTTGTGTGTACCTGACAAGACCAGGCTCACACATCTGCGGCTCGAACAGGATCAACAGCCAAACAAAGAAGTGGCGGGTCACTCATAGCTAAGTTGTTGCGAACACGGCTGACCGCCCCAATCAGGTTCGACCTCCCATGGTTGCATCAACATGCTCAGCTGTTACAATCGCTGATGCTGATTGCTTGCTGTCGGCCAATGACATGCGACGTCCCGTTAGGACCCAATTTTCTGCGAGCAACTTGTGACGGATCTTTGCCGTCCATAACGTCTGAGCCCATCAGCGAGGCACAAATCGCTGCCATAACTCAGGTGAGCAGGCTGTGCTTTCCCAAGCAGCGTCCCCGTTCTTTCTGGCGGCTGCTTGCAGCTGCGGCACCCTTGTGAGCATGTCCTCGCGCTGCTCCTGTGGTAGTGGTGGAGCGTGTCTTGCTTCTTCTGATGCTGGGGGCCTCATGACACTGCAAATGTCCAGTCTAGAGCATCATGGACCACACAGGCGGCGCACGATATGAGGCCAATAACCTTATTGCTGCCAAAGCTCGCAACACTCGCCACCTCAACAGTGTAGATCATCACTTCTTCCACGCCCTCGCGGTTCATACCTAGGTTCTCATTGGAACGGTTCTGCGCCGTCGCACACAAGCAGGCCCCTTCCTTGGGATTCATGTGCTGCAGACATGGGGTACATCGAACGCAGTTCTCAATTTTCAGGTGAGAAATAGTCACTCGGGATTTAGGCTTGCTGCTGAGCAGTGAGGTCACGGATTGCGGTGACCTGGATTTGCTCCTCTCCTTCTGTGAGCTCTATAGGATGCGGTCTCAGATGCAGTCACCCGGTAGTTGTTTTGTTATTGTTTTTCAGTACATCTACTCTGTCGTGCAACTAGAAAAATTTCGGAGCATATGACGCTTGCTTCGGGCATGGGTGTCTACTTTACGCGTCGGGGTGTGCGGTTTAGGTGAGTGGCAAAGCCTTGAACACTGCTAGTTATTCATAGGATGCTAACGGGGGGGGAGGGGATACCCCCCCCCAAATGCACAGGGTCTACCGAAGCTTATAAAATGCGTTTTACATGTTGCGAGCGGTGTGAGCCGCGTTTGAGCTATCGAGCCTTAGCGACACACAAAAAATAACGGCTATTGAGGCTTACAGGGGGGCTTATTGAGGCTTAGAGAGGGCTCGCGCAAGCAGAAAAAGGGGCCCCGAAAAGGCCTATCGAAGCTTACAAAGTTGTTTCTTTGAGCACCCGCGGCGCGATTCAGGGTTTAGAATTTAGGTTCAAGCGCACAGTTTCATAGTCTGTACCTTGAACGATAGCAGGCCGAAGCCCCGACCCCCAAATCCCCGCCTCCCAGCCCTGGAAGTTCAGCCATATTGGGGTGGACAACGGGTAATCAAAGCAGTCAAACGCTGAGGCCTCAAACCCGCCAACTTCTCACCCGCCCAAACCCACCTAAGAACCTAACCCAACGTTCAGGCTTTTGAAAAAAAACCCAAACCCTGAACCCCTCTGCTGGCCACCATGGTCCGCAATGGGTTCCGACTGGTCTTGCTGGCTGCATCTTCAGAGGCTGCAGCAAGTACAAGCAGAATCCGGATTCGGGCCCACTTGGTGAAGCTACTGAGTAGTATTGATTGCTACTGAAGGTCAAAAATATCCTACTTTAGGGATTAGCTGGCATCGGTTCGGGAACCCCAAATTCTTCATGATAAGCAGAAGGGCCACTGAACTCCGTTGAAAGCTTGTGAAGTAAGTCTACTGAGGGCTATTGAGGGCTATTGAGGGCTATTGAGGGCTATCGAAGCCTACTGAAGCCTATTGAGGGCCGTGGAAGGCTTATGAAATGCATTATTTGGCTTTGGCCTCC